TGCACACCATCCATCCCTCCATCCCTCCATCCACCCATCCATCCATCCATCCATCCATCCATCCATCCATCCATCCATCCATCCATCCACCCATCCATCCATCCATCCATCCATCCACCCATCCATCGCTGTCCCTGCTGGTGGCTGCTGCAGGGCACACACCCTTGGGTGCCTGAAAACGCCAGACTGTGGGGCAAAACCCTTCTTTACGGCCAGGTACTGGGGTAAAACCCCTCCTCACAGCCAAGCTCTGGGGCAAAAACCCTTCCTTGGCCAACACCAGCTCCCTCGGGGAGCGAGCAGAGCCACAGATCGGCCCGGGGAAGCTGCGCCCCTTTGGGCACATCCCTCTCCTGGCTGGGGTGCTGGGGAGAGGGGCCGGCTGGACCCTGGGACCCCGACAGCCCCCAGGAGAGACCACTCGCACACCCCCAGGCGCCCCTGCCCCTCTGCCCCGCAGATCCCCGGCGGCCCGGGCCGTTCCTCCCTCAGCCCCGGCGGCTCCACCCGCCCCGCGGGCCCGGGGGCGGAGGGGCCCGGCCGGGGCGGGGCCGGAGCCGGGGCTGGAGCCCCCCCGGGTGGGTGCCGAGACAGCTCAGGGTCCCCCGAGGGTCCCCCCCGGTGCCCCCTCACCAGCCCCAGCGCGGCGGGCGGCACCAGCGCGGTGCTGAGCGTGTGCCAGGCGGCCGAGAGCTCCATGGGGCCGGGCCGGGCCGCAGGAAGGGGCGGAGCGGCGATGAGCGGGGCCGGGGCCGCGCTGCGGGGGCAGCGCCGGGCGCTGCGGGAGGGTGAGCGGGGCCGGGCCGGGCAGGGCCGGGCCGGGGGCCGGGCAGGGCCCCCCGTGTGACGGTGCCGCCCCGCAGGGCTGTCGGAGCTCCGCGCCCGGCGGGACGAGCTGAGCGGGCAGATCCGGGCGCAGGAGGCGGAGCGGGGCCGGCTGCAGGCGCGGATGGCGGCGCTGGCCCGGCGCTTGGCCGACACCAGCGAGAGCCTGGCGGGGCTCCGGGCCGCCCGCGCTCAGATCGACCGCACCATCGCAGAGACCGAGGCGGCCTGCGGGCAGGTACGGAGGGAATGCAGTGCCGGCCCTGCGGTGTAACATCCTCGGGAGAAGAGGAGGGACGGCACCGATCTCTGCTCCCTGCGACCCCCGGATCGTGGAATACAGAATCACAGAACATCCTGAGCATCCGGCTCCTGGCTCTGCACAGACACCCCAGCAATCCCACCCTGTCCCTCAGAGCGTTGTCCAAACCCTCCTGCAGCTCTGGCAGCCTTGGGGCTGTGCCCACTGCCCTGGGGAGCCTGTTCAGTGCCAACCACCCTCTGGGGGAAGAACCTTTCCCTGAGATCCAGCCTAATGTTGTGTCAGGGGAGGTTTAGGCCCCAGGGCTGCCAGAGCTCAAGGAGCATTTGGACAACACTCTCAGGGACAGGGGGGGATTGTTGGGGTGTCTGTGCAGGACCAGGAGCTGGACTGGATGATCCCTGTGGGTCCCTTCCAGCTCGGGGTATTTTGTGATCCTGGGAACTCAGGAGCTGGTTTTACCTGAAGGTCTGTCTGCAGCACCTCCATGAACCATCGCCCACACTGCAGTGAAAATCGTAGCACTGCAGCCGAAACAACCGCCCCGACTGCTGCCTGGGATATGATTCCAGCTCCAGCACACACACCCTGGTCACAAGGGGGTTGAGTTGGACTGGGATTAGTTTTGGTGCTCTTTGAGGTTGGGCAAAGCTTATTGTCAAAATACATCAAAGTGGTCCTTGAAACAGACCCCTAAAAGCAACCATCCCACAGCCATCGTTTGGGGAAAAGGAGGAAACCAGAGACATGACACAAGAAGCCCACAAATTCATGCAGTTAATAACAGTGCTGATGGAGGTGTTGGCCTGACACTCTTCCTGCCCAACATTTAGTGTAGTTTCTTTCATCTTTAATATAATAATGTCATTAAGAGTCAGAGTGTTGGGGCAGTAGATGGGGAGAAGGAGCAAACTGTGAAGGCTGGTGCTGTCATTTCAGCTCCTGGGACAGCTCTACCCTTTCATTCTTCCTGGATTTGTAAACTGCCAGGCAGGGATTGCCTCATTACAGGATCATGGCTTAAGTCACTTCTGCATTACACACCAACCAGATTTTTATTTTTCAAAAAGGATCTTTCCAGGCTACTTTCAGAGAAGTGGCAATTTTCCTTCTGTTGGTGGCAGGGCAGCTTGGGCCAGAAACACTCGTTTCCCCTATTAGCTGCTGTCTTCTCCTTCTCCCATTTGCTTTTTGAATGAGATCAACTACTCTGTGTCAGCTTCTCTTCCTCTCCCAAAGTCAGTACTTTTCCATGACAATTATTTTTCAGGTGAGGCTGGAGCTGTTTCCTCATCAGGTCCTGAAGCAGGCTGGTTTGAAGTGAAGGGGGAAGCTCACATAAAAATTTAACAGCTTAAAAATTGTATCATAAAGCTACACAAAGAGCCCCTTTGAAAAGAAACCTTACCTGAGACCCAAGTCACACCCCCAGCCTACAGGTGAATTCCTGTTTATTGAAAGGAACTTACACTCAAAGGAGATAAAAAGAGGTGAGGAGGAGAGGGAGGTGTCCTACAAACAAACCAGTAACAGAGTTCCTTTCCTGGGGATGTACAACACTGGTTTGTGATCACTCCTTGCTTTCCCCAATCCCCACAGGACTCCACCTTCCTCCAGCATGGCAAGATCCCACCTGCGCCTCATCCTGCTGGGCACTTCCCTTTGGCTCCTCTCCGACCACTTAGTGATTTCCACAAGCTCACAGGAACATAAAATGATCTTTGGGGCTCCAACCATCACATTTTGTTACTGTGTTAAAATTTTACACTGGTGAGATGGGCAGGCAGCAAGGTCTCCTAAACCTCTTGTGGCCTAGAGCACAGTAAGGGATGTTAGATTATATACACTGCAAGGTAAAAATAGGAGAGAGTTCATGAGAGATTTAGTCTGACTTAAGGTCACTGTGGAGCTGAGTTAGGCTTGAAGCCAGAAGCCCCAAATGTGCAGTTTTAACAGCAGAATAGTTGAAACTGGGTGAGCTGAACACAATACTGATCTAAAAAGCCCAGGGATCAACATCTCCCTTAACAAAACCAACCAATCAACCAACCAACCAACCAACCAAAAACCCCAGAAGTTCATCCCAGTCTGCTTTGGGAAGTTCTCTGCCTTGTGCTCCAAGACAGATAAGTTGCTTAAGGTGTTTCGTATTCAGAATATGGGCACAAACCAGAGAAACTCCCCCACAGACATTCCTGCAGGAATGTTACAGGATGATACATCACCAGGAATTTGGGACTGTAAGGGCTGGAGAACTCCTCTTGCTGCAAGGCACATCAGCTGAACTTGAAGGGAACTCATAAGAGAAACAGTTTATGTAAAAATAAGCTATTTTTATTTCTTTCCCAGGTACTGGACAATTCTCAGACATTGCTAGATATCCTGAAGGAAGAAAGTGGGAATGATGGTAAAGCCAGAGAGCCACAAAGCAGTTCATTAGGACAACAAGCACATCAACAAAAGCGTTCCTAAACTTGATTTTCAGCCTGGGAAGTCCTGCTGGTCTGGGACAGCTGCTGCTCTGGTACAAGGATGCCACATTTAATAAAAGCCTTTGTTTTGCAGAAGTAAATTCTCCTTTCAGATGTGCTTTGGTATTAGTTAGAGAGCCACTAAAGTTGATCCTCAGATGCTAGAGATGAGGGTAGGCATGTGTACAAAAACACCCTTTATTTTGAGCACAGTGACCCTGAAGCTGCTTCTGCCCTCAGCACAGCACTCACCTTGCTCTGCCAGGAGTGAGCTCAGGGCACGTGGCACAGGCAGGGAGCAGAGCAGAGCTGGGCAGTGGGAAGGCAGCGCTGGGTGAGGTTGAATCAGGGCCAGAGCAGAGCAGGAGGAAGGAGCAGAGGAGGCAGCAGCACACACGCACCATCCCCCACCCCCTGAGCCTGCCCTGCCCAGGGGCTGCAGGCACTGAGTTAACTCAGGGTACAGCACACCGAGTACCAGAGCAGTGTTTCAGCTGGCTGAGGTCAGGGGAACAAGCTGCAGGATATTGTTGGCTTTAGCATTCCTCATTGATCCATAGCAGAACAAAGTCAGGACTAGTTCAGACACCTTGTCCCTAACGTGAGCTGAAAGCAGCTTTTGCCTTACCACCTGCAGTTTTGCTAAGCTGTGGATCTAGAAACAGAGCTGCCTTAGACTGACCTGGGCTTTTCCACAGGGAAGGATGCGCACTGGGACCCTGCCTGCTAAAAAAGCTGTCAAAAAACCTTTTCTTCAAACATAGTCCCTGATCTTTGGCTGTGGGCAGTGTTTAACTCCACACAGCTGAGAACTTACCCCTTAAATCCAGCACTCATTAGAGGCCTTGCATTTTCCCTCATTCTACCCCAGCCTCGGCACCTTGTCCTGAAGTATTTCATTAAGAGAAGCTTTACCACATGAAATTCCACAGTACCCACAGTACCTGTGTCATGTCCCAGGCAGATGCAGTGCAGACACGTCCTGCTCCTGGGAGGTCAAGCAGGGAGCAGGTTTTGAGTTGGCCTGGACAGGACAAGGAGGTGCAAAGTGTTCCTTTGTGGCCCCTCCCTCTAAAAACATCTAACAAACTACTGAGTATCTCATCTTTTTTTTTTTTTTTTTTGTGTGTGTGTGTGTGTGTTCTCTTTCCAGAATTATTTAGGCACAGAAGGGAACAGCTACAAGTAGGTATGTGCTAACATTTAATCCTGACCGTGTTTTTCAGCAGAACAACCTTCCCCTGCTGCTACAATACACACCAAACCCAGAGCAAGGTATGCAGAGCATTTTCAGTTCACAGACCTTGAGTAGACATCCATCATCTCTATATAACGGGCAAACCAATAAACATATCAAATTTAATCAAAGATTCCAGCCTGTTCCTTTGGACAGAGCCTCATGCTGGGGCACCACTCATTCCATAGAGCCCAAAGAGGCCGGATCTGTTCCAACTGCATCTCTTTTAATCCCAAAGTACAAATCACATTAGCAGCAGTGTTCCATCTGTTCCAGAGTGCAATTTTGACCCTGAGTTTACAGTAGTAGAAAATGTAAATGGAAGATTCTAGCAGATTCCTTTGCATATTGGCTGCATTAAACAATTACAATAGAACTATAAAAATCCTAGAAAAAAAACAAAACAAAAAAAATTTCCCACATTCCTTGTTCAAGTTCTGCAGAAGAAAGGAGTGAAAGTGCCCTCCTGTGCTTTGATTAGAGGAGCAGAGCGAGCGTGGTTCAAAGGAACCCTCCCCACCAACCACGACAGATCAGTCAGATCTGGAACAGAGCAACAAGAGGAACTGGCAAACTGGAGCACAACCAGCAATTCCTAGAGACTGGATGCCAAAATTGGGTAGGTAGGGACAGATCAAAGCTATGGCCAATGTTTGGGAATTTTCAAGAGGCTCGAGCCAGTCTGGACACGTCGTTACAGACTCGGTGCAAAAAGGACACCTAAAGTTAAAGGCGTTCATTCCTCTCCCTCCCTCACAGGGTGTGCAGTGAACTCCACAGGCACGGAACGGGCACATTGATTCCATGATGGTTCAGTGAAACCAGTCCCAGAAACATGCCAAGAACAAAGCAATGGTTTTCCAAACTGACACCCCACCTGTCAATCACAGCCACGCTGTGAATCCAGCTCAGATGCTCCCAGTGCTTGCTCCAACTCCAGAGCCATTCTCCACTGAGGCCTCTGATGGGAAAAGCGTTACAGGAACTGTCCAGACCCCACACAGTGCCTGGACTCAGACAAGCACCGAGAGAATCGACATCCATCCCGGGATCACAGCTCTGCCCTTCACACACTCGCCTAATCAGCAGCCGATCTTGAACAAGGAACGTGCAAGGCCACAGGCAGAATGAATCATACGCCTCAAAAGTAGTAATTAGGTCCCAAAATCCAGTGCAAATATTCTCCGGAGATGCCCGACAGCACCTGGTCCCCCCTTGGCATCGGGATGCAGCGCAGGCGGCGGGGCGGGAGGGCGGGCGCTGTGCGGGCTCGGGGCAGCTGCACTGACACGTCCTGCCCAGCAGCTGCTGCTGCAGGACCGCGGTGAGTCCCTCAGAAGTAGAGCGCGGGCTCGCTGCTGAAATCCGAGAGCCCGCCCTTCTCTGCCGGGGTGAGCTGTGGGGAGAGCAGAGCGGCAGGAGGGGTCATCAGCCAGGGCAAATCAGCACCCACACCTCTGCACTGGCACCTGGCCCAGGGCATTGATCCCCCCCTCCAAATGTGCCCCGGGTTATCACAGAATCCCACAACAGTTTGCATTGGAAGGAACCTTAAAGCCACGGGCAGGGACACCTTCCACTGGCCCAGGCTGCTCCAGTCCCCCTCCAACCTGGCCTTGGACACTCCCAGGGATGGGGCAGCCACAGCTTCTCTGGGCAACCTGTGCCAGGGCCTCCCCACCCTCACAGGGAACAATTTCTTCCTAAAATCTAATCTAAATCTCTTCTCTTTTAGTTTAAAACCCTTTCCCCCTTGTTCTATCACCCACCCATGTAAAAAGTCAATCTCCTTCTTTTTTACAAGCCCCTTTAGGCCCTGGAAGGGGCTCTCAGGTCTCCCTGGAGCCTTCTCTTCTCCAGGTGAACCCCCCCAGCTCTCCCAGCCTGGCTCCAGAGCAGAGGGGCTCCAGCCCTTGGAGCATCTCCATGGGCTCCTCTGGACTTATTCCAACAAGTCCATGTCTTTCCAGTGCTGAGTGCAGAGTGTGCAGCTGCCCCAAGACTCGTTCACACTGAGAGGGAGGTCTGTACGTGGCAGTGGGAGCGTGTGTTGGTCCCTTTGGGAGCAGTGACACACCTCCCTGGACAGTGAACACAAAGGCACATCCCGTCCCATCCACTGCCCAGAACAACCCCAGCACCACAGAAAAACTCAGCAAGACTTCCTTATTAAAAGCCTCACCATGTCCTGGTTCCCATGGGAATCAGCTTCCTTTGGGAGGGGTCCCTCTGCAGCAGGACCCTCATACTTCTGCTCCTGCCACTCGCTGAACTTCACGGAGTGCTTTGGGGTGTAGCTGGATAAATCTGCAGGAAGGAGAAAGCTGGTGTAAATATTCCTCACCACCACAAAGGAAGTGGGGCCAGGATCCTGGCAGGGACAGCATGGAAGCTGCCCAGCTGCAGTTCCCTGTTCACCTCCATTGGCATCTCCACTCGTGTGGAGCCCCAAAGGGTCTGTAGGAAACACAGACAGTGACAGACACCACCAGAAACCCCACAGTGCCAACACAGGGCCTCACTCACCTGAGTTGGGTGTACTGGGATGCAAAGTGCCATTTGGGCGTGGAACGTAAAAGGGGCAAGATTTCTCCTCCTCTGTTTCCGAAGCGTGGCCTTCCTCCTCCTCCTCCTCCTCCTCTGCCAGGGAGCTCTCCGAGGGGTACTCGAACATAGTCTGCAAACTTGTCTCATTGAAGGAGATCTTCATCTAGACAAGAGCCAAGGAGGATTGTCAGGGAGCAGCACAGGAACCCACCGATCCCAACACTGGCTCAGGTCACTGTGCCCCCCAGGGCTGCACCCTGGTTTATAGGAATGACTGAATATCCCCCCCATCCCTTCCCATGGGCCTTGGTGGATCTCTTGGCACGCTGACAGAGGGCCAAATGGATGGGATGGGATGGAGGCAGGAGGCTGAGGGGTCTAGAGCACCTCTGGCCTTTTGCCCTTCACCATCATCTCACTGATGCCCAGCACCCAGGAGCAGCTGCCAGCGGGTCTCTCAAGAGATCAGTGTTGCCAAGCAGGAAAGGAAAACATCCTCATGTTGGAAAAGTGACATTGCTAATGCCTGACAACTGGTTTGTGTACCCAGCCTACAGAAATACTGGTGATCAGGACCCCGGTCCTAGGAGGACATCCTGGCAAAGAGCTACTTAAGCTACATAAAACAGGGCTTAATAGCAGAAGTGAGAAGGTGGAAACAGCTGAAGGAGAGATGGTAACAGGTGGTAGCAGAGAAAGGAAAATACTGGACAGGGTTCTGGTTTGAAACCAGTTTTATTCAGTATTCTCACTAATGACCTTGGCACAGTAACTGGGAGAATGAAGGTGAATGAATGAAGGAGGAATTGAGGAATGAAGGTGCCTCAAACCTCAAGGGAAAACCAGAATTTTATGGGTCATGAAGAAAACTAGAGAGCAAAAACACTAGAAATGGAACGGTGTTTAAGACCAACCCTTGCTCTGAGACAAATTCATCACCTGTGAATAACAGGAAGAAAATTTCGGATTGGCTACACGCCTGTAATCACCATTAGGATACTGCTTAAAGCAGGACTGAAGCAAAGCATTTCTGCTGGAAATAGGGACTGCCTGGCTCCATCCTGCCTGTAACACCCAGCAGGTGGTGGAAGTAACTCCAGATGTGCTCTTCCAAGTTGAAAAGAAAAGCTGAGGGAAGGGTTTGCTCCCCTGCAGCCTGTCCTGTCCTAATCATCAGCTACCCTTGTGCTCCGAGGATCTGGTTGCAGGACACCTCAGCAGGTGCAGAGGAGATTCACTGGCTAAAAAACTTCCCACCAGCACAAGTGCAGGTGGAGAAAAAGCACCACAGCTCTTTAAGAACACCAGAAAATAACCCCCAAGGAGCAGAGAGCTGCTGATGCCAGCACACAGCAGACAAACAAGGAGGAACTGCCAGGAATAGATTTATGCCAGAAGTAGGGAAGTATCCAGCCAACAGGGATCAAGGTTCAGGAGCAGCTGTCTAAAAGGGTGTTGTGATCCCTCTACTTCTAAATGCAATTAAACCCCAGACAGTAAGGTTATAAACAGAATTAAAAGGACGTGGTAGCTTGTGGCAGGCGGCAGGAGCTGGATGGATCTCTCCAGGCGCTGTGTAACGACCGGCAAAGGAGCAAGTGCAGCACGTTCACCTCCTGGGCCATATCTGCAGTTACTCTCACACCCAAACTCCCCCCAGGGGCTGGGAAGTGGCACCTGGCCCCAGGCAGCTCTCAAGCACCACAAGTGCTGCCCAGGTGCACCTATTCCCTGGAAGAGCTGTCTCTGCATGTCCAGTGGCCGGAGCACTGGTGCCACACCACTGGGGGCTGCTGAAAGTGCCCAGGGGCCAGAGCTGCCATCAGGCACTGCCACAGTGTCACCTGTGCTGCCCACAGACAGGACCCAGGAGCTGTGGGGGATCAGGGTCTGCAGGGCCAGACAGGGAGCATTTCACTGCTGCATGTCAGCAAAACAGCAAGGGGAGTTTAACTCGAATCTGGGTAACAGAGTGAGCACCTGCACCTCTCCCACCCTGCAAATGCACACTTGGGGTGCCACTCCACCCCAGGACGGGATGGACCTTGGACACACTCCCAGGATGGAAACAGCACAGAGGGCAACCAGCTGCCTTTCCCCATTCCCTGCCCCAGAGCCACTCGGACCTTCTCCAGCTGACACATGGGGAGAAAAGTGACTGCATTTCAGAGAAATGGGGCTGGAATAAAACAGCCCTGAAGACTGGAGCATCCCAGTTGCTGTTCCCTGAATTTCCCATCCCTGCTGCTGACCTAGATGCTCCCTGATCCGAGCCAGGCTGGGACTGCTCACAATGTGGTGTCTGTGCTGGGGATGAGCCACTCTGCCAGGCACGAGGGCCAGAGGGTGGAGGTGCCCAGGGCTCCTGGAAGCTCAGGAGCTATCCCAGAACCAGACACTGCACACAGGCTGCTTCCCAGTGCTGGCAACTGCACTGAAGGGCAAGAACTACTTGGCTAAACGTGGAAAACAAAGGAGACAGGAGAGATATGCCTTGGATTTAGAATTTAAGCTTGGGAGACGGAACTCAGTGTTCCTGGTTTTCTGTTATCTGGAGGAAATCTCTGAGAAAAATGACTTGGAGTCCAGTTTGGGCCAAAGGTGCGTGTAGTGCTGGAGGAGGAAACAGCCTCACCAGGGAGCCAAACCAAAGGGCAGAACGCAGCAGAAGTGACCCAGAGATGTGGCCCTGCCCACACAGTGCCCAGAGGCAACACCCCAACAGCCCTAAACTCACACAGCTCCCAATTCCCACAGCCAGTTCAGCCGGGGCCACGCTCCCTCCTGGAGCAGGGCTGGGTGTCCTGCAGGAGCCCCCCAGGCAGGAGGTGCAGGAGGCAGTGCTGGAGCCCTTCACGCAGAGCAATCATTAACCACAGCAGTGCAGTAACCCACACACCCAGGGACAGCTCAGGACAAGACAACCTGCTGCCCCAGCAGCACACGCCGAAGTTCACACCGGCCAGTCGTGTGAACGCGGCTGCACCACGGCACAACCCCCTCAAAAACCACCCTCTGCATCCAGAGCCTGCTCCCAAGCACCAGCAGAGCCCCACAGAGCTCCAATAAAGCTCTGGACGCACCCAGGCAGAGCAAACACAAGGAACAACCAGGAAAGGACTGCAGGGAGCTCAGTCAGCCCTGCCCGTGCAGGGAGCACTAAAACCCAGAGCAATAAACGTGCTGGGCTGCCCTTCCCAAGCATGACGTGGTTTCAGGGAAGCACAACCCAAGCTCGACCCAAAAGACGATGGAGGGTGAGCTGCTCAGGCAAAACCAGGGGCCACAGGGGCAGAGCTGCCTGAAGAAATGCTCTGAGCAGAACAGAGCACTGTGTGGGGAGCACGGGCAGCTTCAGGCCCAGGAACCATCTAAACAGGAAAATCAAGAGCCCAGCAATGGCACAGACAACGGGTCTGCACAGCCAGCAGCCCCTTGCCAGACCACTGAGGCTTTTATGGGAACACAAAAGGCAAGAGGGGACGTTTCTGTAGAAGAAAAGCGTCTCCCAGCAGAGCCAAGCACGCTGGAGCCCAGCCAGAGGGCTCTGCTCAACGTGTCTCAGCACTGCTTTCCCCACTTCTGCCCCAGCAGCAGCTGCCAGTTGTGGCAAGGAAGAATTTTGCACCCTTCAGCTGTGGATGTTTGCAGGGATTTGTCACTCTTCACTCAGCTGAAGGCTTCACCCACAAAACTGTGTCACAAACCAACCCATATATCTATATATTGCTACTCTGCCCTGCAATCAGAGACACGCTGGGAAGAGCAAAGTAGGCTTTTCAGGGAATATTGTGCTGTTCAGCCAGCAGATTCTTGTTGCCATAGCAAGAATCATTTATTTATTTGCTAGGATTTGAACAGCAATGAGTAATAAAGTACCCAGGAAAAGAGAAGGCAGGGTAAACATTGCCCAACGTGCGTAAATCAGAGTAGTCATACAGGGCCCCCATTTAGAAAAGAAAACAAAAGTCAACCTTCTTTCAGGGCAGGCTGCTCCCAGACCAACCACCAGAGAGTCCCCGTGGACACAGACGTATCAGAAATAACCAATTTATAGAACCCAACCTATGACACAAGCAAGGCCAGTCAGCAGATACCTCACCTCCAAAAGGGAGGCAGGGAAGTCTGCAAGGCAGTTTTAATGACAGAGCAAACACCCGATGGCTTCTCACACGAGGGAGCTCTCTGGGAGTCTCCTGGGGTTAATCTGCATCCTCAGCTCCAGAAACAATCTCTTTAGTGTGGCTTTTCTCTTCTCCACCCATTATCACATTTGCTTCTTGGCTGATGAGGCAAAGCCCAAATGATCACCTAGGGTGTTTACACCTTTTAAACAGGAACTTCTTTGCAATCCAAATCCTCACCTTGTGAGAGTCAGAAAAAAAATACACGTTCTGGGCATTAAAAGAAACAAAACAAAACAAAAAATCACCCTGTAACTCTATTCCAGCAGGGAGAGTCAGAGTCAGCAGATTGCTGACAACCCACAGCACCCAAGTGCTTCACCAGATCCAAAGAGCTGAGCAGCACCAGGGATCAAGACTCTTCTTTTCAGCTACTAATTTTCCTCTGATCATCCTCTCTCCTCAAGCAACTTAATTCCTAAGTGACAAACCCAGGGACTGCTCTGACCCCCCGGGACATGTGTGGGCTGCCAAATGCTGCTGGGTGTGATTTTAAAGCAGCTTTTCACACCTGGTCAATCCAGCGCCTCCTCCTCCTCTCTCAGCAATGTCACAGGAGGGCTTGGCTGGCATCTGCAGGGAGGGAGGACCATTCAGCGTGAGTGAATCCCAGAGATCAAGCATGAACAAAGTGAGTGTTTGGGAGAACCTCGTGTTCCTGTGCACTCTTACGCTGCGCTCCCTTTGTGCTGCACTGGTTGTCTAAGGATTGGGTGGACAACATGAAAGCAACAAGGACATCACACCTGATGACCTGAGACTGCAGCAGCCAGCTGGGAATGGGTCAGGAAGCCTGGGCACACAGAGCATCCCTGGGCTGAGCAGGAAAACTGTTCAAAGACCAAACCCATTCGGGTGGCTGATGGAGGCTCTGCCCAGCAGAGCTCAGGACCCTTCTAAACACAGAACAACCTCCCAGCTGCCACGGGCTGAGAGGGAAGGTCTCTGCACAGATAAATAACTGTTTGTGACACTGGAA